AAAAAAATTTTTGTCCACGTTTTAGCTCGCAATTCTGAATCGATTTTGAAAATTCAAAAACCAATCGGAAGATATTGGTTGGGAATCGTGCTGATTAGTTTTTGGTAGAGATTGGGCGGGCCGTTTTCTTGTATTAAAGTTAAAAAAAATAAAGTTCGACGATTTTTATGATTTTTTTAACGATAGATACCATAGTCTCGTAGATCATACTAAAATATTACGGCCCTGCGACAAGTCGTTTAATTTTAAAAATTCTTCAAAGCTTGCAAAAATTAGTACCGTTTTTTGGCATTTAACAAAATTAGACTTTTGATCGACGTTTTCTCAAAAATGCCTGAACCGATTTCAGAAATTTAAAAGCCATTTGATGTATCTCAATGAGGACTATCGTTTGTCAGTTTTGTGAGAAGATCAGCCGAGCCGTAAATTCTTTGTAATTAGAAAAAAAAAATTAAACTTTTCATCCACATTTAAGCTCAAACTACCGAATCGATTTAAAAAAATCAAAAACTGTTGGAAAGATATTAGTTGGAAATCATACTGATTAGTTTTAGGTGAAAATCTACCGAGCCGTTTTCTTGTAATAAACTGTTGAAAAAAAATCTAAGCCGATTATCATGAAATTTTTTTTAGCGACATATTTCATGGTCTTACTGAACCTACTGAAATATTGCGGCCTTACGACAAGTAATTTAATTTTAAAAATTCATCAAAGTTTGAGAAAATGAGTATAGTTTTTTTGACGTTTGTTAAATCTAAAATTAGACGATTTTAGATAGAGTACTTGGTCTTAATGAACATACTAAACCATTAGAGTTCTGCGGAAACTGGTTTAATTATAAAAATAATTGATTTTTGAAAATTTGCTTCTAGAAAATACTCCGAGTTAACGTGTTCGTTTATTTGAATTATGTGTAATAAATTCACTCGGTATACTTTTGATCACTCATAAATTGATTCATTTTTTATTGATTAAGTCGCTTATTTACACATATCGGGAAATTCATGTAACTTGCCTCAAGGCAAAATACCAATACCAACTAGTTAAATTTTAATATAGGTTCAGACGAAAAAACGTGGAGAACAACGTCAAATTTTGACTCACGTCAAAGACGCAGATTATTTAAAAAATATACACATGTGTAGGGTAAGGAGTGTTCAATTTAACTTTCAGCAATTATATTGTAAAAACTAAACGAAAAACATAACAACAAATAAGACATATCAAACAAAAAACTATCTGACTATGTTTAGTACAACTTCCAGCTAATATACTGTAGAAATGTGTTTTTTTGCTGTTTTTCAAAAATTTTGTCACTTGGTCTTTTTGACTTCATAGGCGGGGTAAAATCGGACGGTGTGAGGATAAACAATTTAACGATTTAACGAAATATTAGCTACATTATTCAACCAATTCAAAATATAAATTTTATGGATGCATTTTTTAAAGATATAACTCTGTATATAACCTTGATTTGATATTTTGTCCAAGAGTTGGAATAATTATTTATTTAATTTACCTCTTGTAAAAATGCTTTTTTAAACGTCGTAAGAATCAAGTTGATGGCTGGTTGTACATTTTTGCTCTCTACATACAAATATTGTCGTTAAGAAATCCTTAACTTTACTTGTTTTTGAGATGTCGGTGGTGGATCTTTACCCGCGGATCTTTAAGCCCCGCTCTATCTCATATATATATATATATATATATATATATATATATAAATATATATATATAAACTTTTCAATTATGACCCCCCCCTGGCGCCGAATGTGGATCCGCCACTGATCTGGTATTTTGTCAGAAATATTCATCAGCAGAGTTGGAATAAGCATTAATTTAATTAATTTTTTCTAAAATTACGTTTTTAAATTTATTTTACTATTTTATTTACTATATTCTTATTGTTGAGAATTTGCCAAGGTAACGTCTCAGTTGGTTCTTTTTACCCCACTCATATGTAAGTTTTTATAATGGTTATATATTAAAATCTGTTGAATCAAACTCGAAAGAAACAATACATCTTCTAAAACAATTGAATAACGTATACGTATAACTAGAAATTATATTAAGGCCTCGTAAACTAAACAATAGTGCTCACATAGCCAAAAAAAACTATTATGGATTTTCAGACATTGCCGTTTATTTCCTGATATCAACGTCGTAGGATCAGTGTGATAGCTGGCTCATTTACCCTCTACTTTCAAATATTGCTGTTAAGAAAAATCTTAACTTCACTTGTTTTTTAGATATCGGCGATGGACTATTTTTACGCAGCAGTGACTAATTATTTTCAATTTATGGCAAAGTGCTAATTATCTAATATAAAGTTAATGTTATTTATACCTATTCATAATTCCGTTTTTTACATTTACTAATTCTCAGTATTGTATTTTATTACTAGGATTAGTCAGTTGAGCACAAATCACGTTTTGATAATCATTTTCTTACTTTAGTTTTGAAAACAATGCTTTAGGTACAACAAAGAACAAATAACTAAAGCATAACATTGAGCGTGGTCAATTGTCATCAATTTAAGGACTGATCATAAATTATAACCGTACGTGAGTTTTTACCATAAGCAAATAATTTTATTGCCCAGGACGGCAGAAATTTACCACGAAACATTTCGTGTGTTAGCGAAATATGTATCGATGTATTTGCCGATTAAAAACGAATAATAATCATCAGTTATTAACTTATAATGATGATGTGTAGAATTCGATCTATTTCAACAATTAAGAAATTACGGTAGCTGGTAAATAAATTTATACTAAATAATATACTTGTATTATCAGGAAATAAATGGCGAAACAGGATTAATTTTTTTTTTTTCAAATAATAAAACAGCTACAACTGGTATAGGTTATAATGCCAAAATAATTTTATAAACAAAATGTAGTGATAAATATAATTCTTATTTCCAAAGTGAATAAAATCAATTAGCAATAGTTAACTCGAAACTTGGATTTTATTACATATGCTGTTGCTTACTATTAAATAGCTGCTTACTCAAAATTCCGACAAAAATACCATAGTTATACCATTTTCCGAAATTTGAAATTAAGTTAAAACTAAATTAATAGATTCGATTTTTTTAGTTCTATATTATTCCAGAAATTATAGGAATTTTCATTATCTATATGCTGTATTCTTGTATAATTCAGCAGTTAAAGTTGCTATTCTTGATTTTTACGACAAAAACGACAACAATATCAGTGATAATTTATTCTTTGCATATTTTTAAAAAAATTGTCAACGTGAACTACAATTATTATCATAATACAAATAAAACATATAGTTACTCCTGTAACACAATTTACATGGGTCCACTTCATACAAACTATACATTCCAGCCAATATCCTTCATTTAAATCTTTATATAGATAATTCTTGTATCCTACAAATAGCTCCAAGGTTTTGTTTCAACTAATGCTAGACAGATAAACAACTTAGGAAACACAAAAATTTTTACACATCAATAAATATTGACAAATCTGAAACAAAATTAGATATATAAAATTTAAAATTAGACAATAATAATAAAGCAAACCAAAATTTTATGATAGATCAATTTTGTATTCCCGCTCAGAAATGACAAAAAAAATATTTTAATATCATATAGGATTCTATTGAAAAACGTCTGTTACTACTTTCCGCTTTTAGAGTAAGCGGTAAGTAGTAGCAGAATATATATATATATATATATATATATATATATATATATATATATATATAAAACATATATATTAGGGCGGGTCGATTTGTATGGATAAAAAAGTCGAACAGGCACTTATGAATTTTGTATACTAGGGATCAAAATAAGATACTTTGCCGAAGAAACAATATCTCTAAAATAAATTCTGATGTCCAGTGCATTCACCCAAAGATTAGGTCAAATTTAGAAAAATCCTGTTTTGGCTCATTTAGAGCGCCCCAATAGTGTCCAAATGCATGACCGACCCCCAGTAACTTTGGAAGGCCGATCTACCCATGTCCATGGTTTACCCCCTAGGACCTCTCTTTATTAGAGGTCTCCCATACAAAAGTTGCATCATGTTGGGTACTTTAACTTGACAAAAATCAGCGATTTATTTTTATTATAAAATTTATTTAATCATAACATCTGTAAATAAAACTATGCCAAACTTATAAATTATTGTTCGAAGTTTTTTTTGGTTTCAAGTCCAAAAAATTTTGCACGGCTCTCTAATATCGTCGCCTCATGTATTTATATATATATATATATATATATATATATATATATATATATATATATACATGCAATGCATAAATGTCTTTATATGTGTGAAATTTTGAACTAAAAGTGTTATTAGAGCATCGTTAGCTTTGTGCAAAGTTCAAGTTTATTGCCAAAACCATATAACTTTACGCAGAATTAATAACCGTGACAATTATTTCAAAAGTGCGCCACAAGCGCATAAGTTGAAGCGCGTCAATTATTCTATAAATAGCGACCTGTCCGGGTTGTTCTTGAATGGTTTCGCTTCGAAAACGGCAATGTAACATTAAATTCTGAAAATATATAAATTACGCATGAAATACAATACATGGCAGGTAAGTAACTAATTCGTTAATGACCATTTGTCTCACTCATAAGGCGCGTTGGCTAATTGGCACGAAGCCAAAACACATTAGTCGCGACGCCTGCAATGAAATATTGGCAAAGGCTTCGTCGACGATAAATACTCTCAAAAATAAGTTACTTGTAAAAACATTGTTGTCAATAACTGAAGGGTAAAATGGCGAGCAATGATTAAAAACTGAATGTTGTTTTTAGGAAACATAGTTGTACATTTCCAATGATTTTTTTGTAAAGGAGAGTCAAATCATTTTGTAAATTATAATGATCATCTAGCACTTTTAACCGATATTGGTTATGTACATCAAATTTATTTTATTTTGAAGTTATTCTACATATTGAATTACATTAATTCACTTTTTAACATAATAATAATTGTATTCTCTGGTTTTCCAGGTTGGAGTTTTCATTACAAGCAGATTCATCGCTTTCCTTCACAATCACACCCTGCACATCTAATATTGCGTGGAGTGTCGAATACAGAAATTCAAGTCAGTATGGTAAAAGATATTTGATTTTTACTGTGATCTTTATTTAATTTATTTAATTTGTTTTATTGTAAACTTCATGTGCCAATTAAAACTGTAGCAAATGTAGCTGAATGTTCTTTGTATAGCTTGCTATGAAAAAAAAATCAAAAAAAAAAATTAAAACTATCTAACATGCATTTTTAATAGGCTTGTTGTAACAGCTTTTTTTAAATTAATGTATCTTGAGTTTCATTGATTATATTTCTGTGAAATAAATGTGGATAGTTGCTGTAGTTATTTCTCTACCAAGTCAAGTAACACAGCGTGAATTTATAAATTTACAATTTATCAATTTCTAAAAAAAAGTGCGATGCTAAAACTTAGCCCGTGTTTAGGGCTACTTATAACATTTTCCAGAGCAAGTATTAACGACAAAAAGATGTCAATAACCCGAAAATTTATACTTTACTCATTTTTAAGAAAATAGCCGTTTCCAAGTAATTCTTTTCATGTAATAATGCAAACTATAATTAATACAAATAAAATATATATCGACGAAATATACAATTTATATCATTATACAAATAAAAGATATAGTGACTCCCGTAGCACAATTTATATGCGCCTACATCTTACAATTCTCACTTGAATCCGTATATATTTTTTTATTTATAAGTTTTATTTCAACTAACCCCAAGTGAGATTTTATTTTGTATCAATCAAGATAACTACATAACGATTGTTACATATTATCTAAGATTGATAAATTTGAAACGAAATAAAATATATAAAATTTAGAATTAGTCAATTATAATAACGCTAACAAAATTTTAGGATAGACCAATTTTATATTATTTTTCAAAAATGACGGAAACTCACAGTTTTGTTTATTGCGTCAGTCTTCAAGATAGTAGCTATGATAATATTATGCAGGACAGTTTACATTCCCAATGGAGACGAAAGAAATATTTTCATATCATTTAACATCCTATTGAAAAACGCCTCTTCTAGTTACCATTGTAACAAATAGCCTCATAACTCTCCTACTCGTTTTCTATAATTTTTATCATGTGGTTATAAAATCTATTATTAATCTAGCATAATTTTTAGTTATTTTATTTATTAGTATAATTATAGTTCTATGAGAAGCTGTTGTTTTTCCACATGACGTTGGTTACTTGTAAAACAAAGAATATTTGATTAATAATTTTCATGATATTTTAAATTCACTTTTGTGACAATTTTTTGAAGGTTAATTTGAGTTACGGGTAGCACTGATAAAATATAATAAATTCGCCCGTGTATTTTTTTTTCAATACTAACTATTCTGCTATTTTAGAAACGATAATTATTTTTTTATAATTATCTTCATTTTAAAATCTTTTCTAAACGTGAGCAAATTTGCGTCAACCACGCCAACTCTCAACCCTCCCACGCTGTTACTCTCTTTTATAACATTTTTTTGATTGTATAAATATCTATCAGCTAAAATTAAAAATAATAATATGTAATACACATTTAATCTATTTTAATAATGTTGTATTATATTAACCCTCTGTCGGTCGGAGTGGTCTGGCCAGACTTTTTTCGACTTCAATTTAAAAAAAAATACTTCTAGTAATTTTATCGACATGAAATTTCTTGACTTTTCCTAAAATTTCATTAGCTGTCGATCTATGAAAAAATCAGGATGAAAAAATGTTCAGAAGGATAATTCTAAGGATATTAACTGTTTCATACATTGAACTGTCGAAGTGGTCTGCTTAGACCACCCATACATTTTGTATGAAGTATGACGGTATTTTCTATTTAAACTGCGTTCTATATATTTTTCGCTATGTATTGTAACATGAAAGTTAGTATTTACATGCACACATATGAAAATTCTTTGAAAACCTATCAAACTTATTGGTTATCGCAAACATTGAAAATCGGATGAATAATGCGCACATTATCAACAATTTTCCTACACATACTGCGTTAGAAACTTTTTTGGCAAACCTGTAGTCGTAAGTATGCAGTACAATTTAAATTATATTTTCACCTATAGTTTTACAGCTCATTTCAAAGGCGGCGCACCTAATTTCGTTTTCATTTGAATTTCACATTCATTTCGAAGGCGCCGAAGAAGAGTAAATATTGTTTTTTATTGATATAAAACAGAAAAGTTAACAAAAAAACAACGATTTTTTTTATATTCCATGATTTGTTTTTTGAAATTTTTTTATTAGAGACAAGCTCAACACAATCATGCAAAAGACGGTAAGAAAAAGAAAAAATCTAAACTATAAATATTTACTACTAATAATCGTTAATATATAAGAAACCAAAAACTAATTTATCCCATATAAATGCATGTAAAATAAATGGTGGTCCAGCCAGACCACTCCGACCGTTCGAAGGTAAATAAATATCCGACCGACGCAGGGTTAATTGAACAAACTCTCTATACTGTTTTCATTTTAATTTTAATTAAATAATATTATTCATATAAACATAATTAATAATATATATAATATGCTGATAAAAATCGTAAATGAACTGATGCAAAAAGAATGTACTTAATTCTGAAATGCTAAATTATAGCACAAATGAGAAATACGATCATTTAATGAATGTATTCTCTCCAAGGTACACACGATGTGTTACACGAGAATACGACACGGCACAGCGACAGCCTCGTCCGGTCGCGCGCCCCACGCGGCCTGTACACGGTTCGGGTGAAAGCTCTCGAAAGCGCGACGCGAGTGCTTGTCTACACGACCGTGCGGGACGGAGGACCGCCGTGGTTGCAAGCGCGCCCCGCAGCCGTCACACTCAGGATGAAGCGTGGTGGCAAGCGCAGAGGTATCAGAGTTAGGTGGAACGCCAGGTGAAGACCTGCTGGAAATAGTTACTTTGTTATATATTATATAAATGTATATATATATATATATATATATATATATATATATATATATATATACTAGCTGACCCGGCAAACGTTGTTTTGCTAAGTAAGGTATATTCTAATCAATTTCTAGAGAATCAAAAATATTAATACTTTAAGTGTATAAGGATGTGTTCTTTGAATGCTATATACAATGAAGTATTATAAAAACAATTAACCACATTAGTTTATCTATATTTTGTCAATACAATCAAACTGGAAGATTTATACACTTTCTATTGAAAACATAGTATAATCCAATCCAAGTCTTTCGACTTATTGATTACGTTTCAAGTTTTTCAGATTCTTTTTGGATTCTGGATTTTGTGTATAATTGTAAATAATACTACTGACCTAATACACAATTTTCAAATTTTTGCGAGGAGAGATAGAAAATAAATATTTAAAATTCAAAAAAGGATTTCTTTTTCGACCAGCTTTTTGAAAAGTTTCAAGTAAGATTCGGTGAATTAAAGTAAATTTAATATAAAGTATATATGTAGAGCAGGGCGAAGCAATACTCAAAATAAATGAGTGGATTGTATAACGCAATATTATAAATATTAAGAAATTAGAAAGTTTTCTTTAAAAAGGGGGTATTAAGAAGCACAACTAGTGTAACCGCCTAAAAGAAATGTGATTTTTGGGAATTTATATTAAAAAAATAATTTATCCATCATTTCAAAATTTTAAGGATATATTTACACATGTCTTAAGAACACATAGTGAAATTTTTGAAGAAAAAAAATAAATATTTTTTAAGATATCGTCGATCTCCAACGGCGCGAAAAAAAGGCCCTTCACTGCTGCAGTGATTCCGGCCTTCTACGTGGATGAAATTAAAAAAAAATCTCATTAAACTAGATAATATTGTTTGTAAAATGACCTACGATAAAAAAAATAATCAAAAATTGACAAAATGGCGGCGTTTTAAAAAAAAGTCGAATTTTACCCAAATTTTGATCGTTTTTGGACTACCAAAATTCGATTTTTGATTCGATAAAAAAATCGATAGTTTATTTTACGGAGAACTATATATGAAACATGTAAAAATAATTATTTGATAGTGATCGGATCATTTGTTTTTGACTAATCGCTGCAGCAAATTCGGAAAATGCTGTTTCCAGAAAAATGCGTTTAAAAATAAAATGATCGTTTCTATATACTATACTATATACTATATACTATATACTATAGACGTTACTATACTCTTTAAATGGCTGTAACGCAAAAACTATTTAAGATATCAATTTCAAATTTTGGTTTGTTATTTTTAAAGGTATAACCTATCGAAATGTGCAAAAATTGAAAATTAGACTTTTTGAAAATTTCACACTAGTTGTGCCCCTTAAGAAAAAACATTATTACCTATATGATTAATTATACACTAACACTTTGTCACTAAAAACTATTTTATCAATAAAAAGTGTGTTTCTAAAGAACAAATTTTGCAAGCTATTAGTATATTTTTTCCAAGTTCTCCACGTGAAAACAAAAAGTATTATTCCCTCGATGGGATTACAATTTGGTGACAAACTTATTATACTGATGAAATTTTAATGAGTGAACTTTTGACTTAATAACTGTGTGTTCGTGTGTGCGTGTTGTTTTTATTTATCTGGGTGTAAATACTTAAGCTATAGATCTTAAAATGGACGTCGATATATTATAAAGTAAAGAAACAGATGAGTAAATTTCGAAAACAGACAGGAGTATAAAACTAAAAAGAAAGAAAGATTTTTTAATCATTTATCAAAAAAATTAAGAGATTTAAATAAGATTTATGTAACAAGTTGTGATCTGATCTAATATTAACACTATTGAAGGCGTTCATAAGTATAAGACATCTTTCCGCAAATAACCTCTTAAAGATGCAACTTTCATGATATAAAAATTTTGGATTGTAGATAAACGAGCACCTTTGACAGAGTTCTGAACGTGTTTAATTTTACGACAGAGTGCGGAAAGTTGTCTTGTACTTATGAACTCATCATATCATATAAGTGACTTTTGAGGCAAATTTTGATCCCACCCGATCATTACAAAAAACTAATCAACGTGATTACTAACCAATAACTTTCAAACAGTCTCTGAACTTTTAAAATCGATTCAATTAGAATCAGATAGTAATTTTAAAAAATATGAAGATGTTAAATTAACTAAAAAACACAAAATTTTCTTAATTTTTTTTGCTACATACGTTATTCCGGATCGTTTAATGGTAACGTTGAAAATAGTTCAAATGCAAGTTATTCCACTTCATTATTAGAATTATATTGATTATATATGATGCTGTGACATACATGTTCACCAATTCTCACTTGGAAACATTTTAGTTTTATATTTCCAAGAGCTATCGCTACTACTCGATATCGGTAGTAGCGATATCGAGTAGTAGCGATAGTATATGTAAAGAGGATTGAACCCAGGTCCAAGTTATAAAATTTGTGACCAAGTTATAAAATATATTGTGGTACGAGTAGTGATTAAATACCTTTTTTATCGACAGTAACTATAATCCATATGCTTCTCATTATTGGCTGGTCGTGAATTCGGAACGCAGTTCACCTACTCTATGCCTCACGCAAGATGACCGCTTGCTCGGTGGTAGAAACACAACAGTACCGACGACCGCACTTAAGAGGAAAGGTCAACGTAATAAGGTCGGACGATTAGGTATTACAATATACTTTATTTAGTATTAATAAGAGTACACTGCAATTAAGAACTGTATCACCAGATTTTTCGATTCTACATGCGATTTTTCAAATTTCTGTTTATATGCTTACACTTATCTATTTTACAAGGTGCGCCATTTAGACCTGCGGTATTTCAAAGTTGAATAACTCTGTTGGTAATTATCAGATTTTGACAAATGAACAAGATTTATTTAGGATATTTCATGCCATTTATTTCAAACCAGGTTTAGAATACAACGTCTATTAAATGACCACCTTCATTTGATACACAAAAAGCAGCTCTTTTTCGCGCATTCTGCATAACATTGGCCAGCATTTCAGGCGTTATAGCAGCTTTTTCGGCATGTATGTTACCTTTTAATTCGTCGATTGTCTTCGGCTTGCTGGCATAAACTTTGCTTTTTAAATAGCCCCAAAGAAAAAAGTCAGGTACGGTTAAATCTGGAGAACGAGGCGGCCACTCCAAATCACCATTTTTCGACACAACGTGTCCCGGGAACTTGCGCTGCAAAAACTGCATCGTAGCAACTGCGGTGTGGCAAGGTGCGCCATCTTGTTGAAAATAAAAGTTAGTGAGGCCTTTTTCACGCATTTGCGGACACACAAAGTGCGCCAACATCCAACGATAACGTGCGCCGTCGATGGTTTCTCCAACTTTGAAAAAAAATGGTCCGATGATGGTTTTGGAGCACACTCCAGCCCAAACAGTAATTTTTTGATCGTGCAGTGGCGTTTCATGAATCACGTGTGGGTTTTCTGTTCCCCAAATCCGACAGTTTTGTTTATTGACTCCACCGGAGGGGTTTCACAACTGAACGATTGTTTTCAATGTAAAGCGTTACGATTTCAGCGCGTTCTTTCGGTGTGTATTGACTCATGTCTAAATTGGCACTAAATGACGTTTCAGAATCATGCTCATTTGTCAAAATCTGATAATTACCGACAGAGTTATTCAACTTTGAAATACCGCAGGTCTAAATGGCGCACCCTGTATTAGGGAAATACAAACCAAATGACATGGTGCTTTGCTTATTGATATTATAACTAGTTTAAATCGTTTTTACTTATATTTAATTGATTGACTACTACTAACATAGTGTTTTAATTAGGTAGGAACTATAACATATTTAGGAAAAATGCAACTAATTACAAAAACCATTTTATCCTTACTATATGGACATAGGGTAAAGATATACCAAAATATTAATTTTCCATCAAAACTTTACTATCCTCAAAATACATTTTTGAAGACGCGATATACGCTTAAACAATGACGTTCAACATCTGACAGGATCGTGATTATGGCTTTCTTCACGTTATACAGTCGCGGTAAAACTAGCTAAGGTTACTGTGTTATTTTGTCTGTATTTCCTCTATACCTATTTTATTAAAATAATTGTGTTCTCAAATTTACAATATATCTCAATACCACGAATTTTTTATATCTAATTATATAGTATTATTGTTGTGCTTAGTGAATGTGAATATTCAAAATTTGACTATTTTGATTTTTTTTATTGAATTTTAGGAAGAAGGAGCAAATCAATCTTATCCCACAATAAACCTCAAGTATTAGTATTAAGTCTTGGAAATCAAACAAAATATGATCTACCTTACATACCCAATCCAGGTATTAATACACAATTTAATTTAAATTCCGTTAGTGCGGCTGATGTGAGAATGTGCCAATAATAGTGCCAAGCTTATGTCAAAATTATACTTTATTAAGATTTATAAATGGCAAATACTATTACATAGTTAAGTTTACATATTACATATTGTAATTGTTTGTATATCTTACATGCTTCTTGTATATTTTTTTATAAAACTATATATGTGTTTCAGTACATTAAGATTTTCTGTTTTTATTTTCTTGGAGATCCAGTAAAAATGTTAAAGAAATGATTAATGGGCATAGGTTTATCAAGTTATCAGATATTTTATAAAGAGTTTAATAATGAGTACAAATTTTGTTTCCATTTGTTGGGTCTCATACCAAGAATTTTAATTTTTAATGTTAACTTATTTTATAGCTTAAACAAATATCCTCGACATTTTCGAACGGTGAGGATCAAGGAACTTGAATGATTCACACAAACATTTCCTTTGATAGTTCAAAATTTATTTCATTCCTGGATTGTTGCCTCAATCCTTCACAATAGAACAAGTTGCCTTAACCCTTTCCACTCCAAGTCTATTTTTGTTTTTATTCCGTCAGCTTCACGCTAAAATTACGTTTTTTTGTATATTTTGTAAAAGATATATTTTTTGTATCTAAAATATTAGCAGCATATTTATTTGTTTCGGATACAATTTTTCTCGCTAGTTCATCAGTAAAAAATAATTGAAAAAATTGAAGAAGCGTACTAAAAAATACTGGAATGAGGGCTAGTAACTTTACTGCTTGTTGTAAAATCAATATTTGGATAATAATTATCTTGCTTTGAAACATCCATCCACGAAGAATGGTCTGCAACCGGAATATCACAAACACTTTCATCACTACTAATTTTACGAACTCTTGGCTTTCTACGAAAACTATCGTCGGAGGAATCCGAGTATGTTTACGGTGGCAGCCAATGGTCCTAGATCAGATTTTTTCCTCCTCGATGGTCCAGGAACATCAGGATCATTATCTTCGTTTTTACACTCGTCTTCGCATTGAAAGGTTTCAAACACATTGTCCAACTCTCTCATATAACGTATAACGGTGCGATATCTCGTTTTATTATGTAGCATCGATAAAATTTAATTGAATTATAGTACTTTACGATTCTAGAATATGTTTCATTCATTCGTGATTCAAACATTTTAGTAACAAAAATTCCTCCTGTTTTAAATTTTCCGGAAAAAGAGGTATTACACCATGTCGACTATCACTCGACAGTGGAGCTAGTGGAACAAAATCAGTATCAAGTGACACTCGACATTGGAGTGGAAAGGGTTAAGACACAATGCAGTGCAGTTATTAAATATAGAGTATTATTTATTTACTAGGTCAACGATACTACTTCGACGTATTCGCACACGATGCAGTGCACGATGTGATGTACCGCTACGGTGGTGTAGATCGCAGCTTCGAACGACCACGACCTCAAACTTTACACGATGGCAAAAATGTTATTATAAGGACGAAAAAAGTTGACGGGCCGCTTGTTTTTCGATATAAGGTAATAATTTTAATTCATTTTGTCTATGGTAAGTTTCGATTCTAATAAAGACCACATATTGTTTGTAATGAACGGTATAAGGTCTGGGTGCACAGACCTTGACATCAAACTGAAACCAGATGATAGTATATATATAGATCTTCACTGTCCTAAATATTTAGAGAAAAAATTCTTATGTTGTTTGGAAATTATGAGCTATTGAGTGCAACTTAAAGCTTGGTGGAATTAGGACCATTTTTTGGTTATTGCGGTGAAACAAAATTCATAAATTTTGTTTATTTAAACTCTGAAGCCGTAATCGTAAATAGCATTTCTAGAACCACAGTCATAAACAATAACACAATTGCCCTGAGTTTTCAAGAATTTAGACTTAATGTTAAACTATAATTTTTTTTTTTTAAACCCGTCGAATTTAAGAGGCTTTCTTTGAAAAAATGTACTGAGGTATGTTGCCAATATTCATCAAAAATTGACGCATTTAATCAGGATTGTAAAATATTTTGAGTAATAAAATTAAAACCTAAATATGACATGTTTTTTGTTAGTACATTTTACTCATTAGTTAATACTATCTATCATCCGGTTTCGGCTTTTCGTCAAGGTCTAAAGGCATTCTGCATATATATTGTTGAATTAAAAGTTAAGTTGAAATTAATCATTTACTTAAATGTTGATGATCAAATAATTTAGGGTTCAAATAATTATATTAAAAGCTGAAGTAAGATTAATAAAAGTAATTATCTATTGATTACTAAACTAATGTCGATCAAAAATTAAAATATTAAATAAAAATTATTTTAAATTTTACATATACTGCACAATATTCTTAAAATTATTTAAATAATAGTAACAACTGCATTCATATTATTGAGGGTTTATTTTAAATATTGGAACAATAAATAAATATAATATTGCATTATTGAAAAATGAGTAAATCTAATTTGCATCAATCAAAGATACCTTTATATATATTCATATTTTTATTTATATATTATATTTATATTTTTATATTGTGAAACAATTTATAAAGTATTTTAATAGCAATTTTGGGCATAATAAATAGCAAAGGGTTTTTATAAATGATATAAACATTTATAAAATTTAGTTATAGACAATTACATTATAATATATTTTAATTATAATACAATTTTTTAAAGTATTATTTTTTTTAACTTCCCGTAGGGTAAGTTATAGTAATCGCAAAAAAATCGAAAATGAAAATTTTTATATATCTTTACGTTTCAGAGGTTTCTGAACATTTTGGCATACCTTAGAAAAAATGGATGTATGTGTGTGTGTGTGTGTGTGTATGTGTGTGTGTATGTATGTATGTATGTATGTGTGTGTATGTATGTGCGGATACAAATTTTCGTCGACGATTTCGGGAACACGGATCAACCGATTTGAATAATTCAAAAAACATTCGATTCGTATTGATAAGAAGACGTGCTGATTAGTTTTTGGCGAAGGCAGGTCTAGCCGTTCCGGAGATACGGGGCAAAAAGTGCCGAAAACGGTAACTCAGTTTTTAAGCGAACGGAGCGTCCGATTTTAATAATTCAAAAAACATTCAACTTGTATTGACAAGATAAAGAATTGATCAAATTTTCATAAAGGCAGGTCTAGCGGTTTCGGAGATCTAACGAAAAAAGTAAAAAAAAATGCCATTTGGCGGTCAAAAATGATCATTAGACATATGCACATCAAATTTTCAGATATTTTATAGAGATTTTAACAATAAGTATAAATTTTGTTTATTTTCCTATGGGTTCCGTACCAATGTTTACCCGTTAGACAGCGACGCCGCGCTTACGCGCTTTATATTTTGTCTCTATGCAGTTAAAGCAGTACGATTGCTTTGAAAAACAAGTTTAGATCTTCCAAAATATGTCAAAATAAAGAAAACATTTTTTTTTCAAAAAAAAATTTTTTTTAAAAAATTTTTTTTAAAAAAAAAATTAAAAAAAAAAAAATTTTTTTTCAAAAAAAAGTAATTTTTTGTCCAATTTATAGTTTTTCAAAAATCTTATTTTTTCGAAGTAAATTTTTTTCAAAAATGTTAATCGTTTTTAAAAAAAATAATAATTTTTGGTACGGGAAGTTCCAGCAATTTGCCTTAAGGCACGATGCCCTAATTGCCTTAAGACAGAATTCCACTTACAGCTAGTTCGCTTTTAATTTTGCAAATAGACAATACATGATACATATATCTAATAGTAGTGTACTAAAAGTTCAGTGTGTCAAAATTTTAATAAAATCGTCTGCTACACATTTTTTCTAGGTTCCTCGAGCAGCAAAAGAAGGTTCTCACATAGCCATGCGTTTGTCTTCCTGTGGCTGTTGCACGCGGGTGACCGTGCAAAGACAAGGAACTGAGGGCGGAAAGGCCAAGCGTCACGTGTTTACCGTCGACGCGCACAGGGCGGCCAGAATCCACTCTGTCAAACCCGGACAGAGGTACACCATTCGAGTCGCATTCGATCCGAAAGTATTACGAAATGAGGTACAAATCTAACACAAAGTCAAGTTGCTTTTAATTTATTTCAGAAGAAATGCATCTAATTACGTTTGAAACAATTTATTTTATCTAATTATATTATAGCGTTTTTTTTTCTATTTTTTAACAAAAAATATATTTAATTTAACATAATAATTTATACAAGAGTTATATTACTTTTTTTCAACTAACAAAAATTTGGAACTGGTTCATACAAAATTCTGAATATGAAACCCGTATGACTTTACACAAAACGACAAAACAAAAAAAAAAATCGATACAGTGCATTTTTTTGTTTTTCCTGGATGAAGTGGAATGAATATTTATTTGTTATTTATTTTTCCAAATTAGCATATGTTATTTATAAACCTTCAATGAAAAATTTATATTCTTATGCCTCCACACTCTTCTAGATATTGAAATTAATTTTATAGTCCTTTACCTGTATAACACACTACATTTATTTCTATCTACCTATTTACCTATCTGCATGTCTACCTGTCCATCTCTTTACTTGTATACCCACGTATCCACCAGCTTACCTGTCAATCAGTTCAACAGTCTGTCTACATGTGTCATTTTCTACTATTTAACTTCCCGTAGGGCAAGTTATAGTAATCGCAAAAAAATCGAAAATGAAAATTTTTATATATCTTTACGTTTCAAAGGTTTCTGAACATTTTGGCATACCTTAGAAAAAATGGATGTATGTGTGTGTGTGTGTGTATGTATGTATGTATGTGCGTGTGTGTATGTATGTGCGGATACAAATTTTCGTCGACGATTTCGGGAACACGGATCAACCGATTTGAATAATTCAAAAAACATTCGATTTGTATTGATAAGGAGACGTGCTGATTAGTTTTTGGCAAAGGCAGGTCTAGCCGTTCCGAAGATACGGTGCAAAAAGTGCCGAAAACCGTAACTCAGTTTTTAAGAAAACGGAGCGTCCGATTTAAATAATTCAAAAAACATTTCACTTGTATTGACAAGATGAAGAATCGATAAAATTTTCATGAAGGTAGGTCTAGCGATTTCGGAGATATGGAGGAAAAAGTAAAAAAATGAGCCATTTGGCGGTCAAAAATGATCATTAGACATATGCACATCAAATTATCAGATATTTTAACAATAAGTATACATTTTGTTAACATTTCTATGGGTTCCGTACCAATGCTTATACGTTAGACAGCGACGCGGCGCTTACGCGCTTTATATTTTGTCCCTATGCAGTTAAAGCAGTACGATTGCTTTGAAAAAAAGTTCAGATCTTCTACAATATGTCAAAATAAAGAAAAAAAAATTTTTTTTTCAAAAAAAAAAATAAAAAAAAATGTTTTTTTAAAAAAAAATTTTTTTTTTCAAAAAAAAGTTATTTTTTGTCCAATTTATAGTTTCTCAAAAATCTTATTCTTTTAAAGTAATTTTTTTTCAAAAATGTTAATTGTTTTTAAAAAAATAATAATTTTTGGTACGGGAAGTTCCAGCAATTTGCCTTAAGGCACGATGCCTTAATTGCCTTAAGACAGAATTCCACTTACAGCTAGTTACCTGATTATCAGTTCACCTGTTTAACTGTCTACCGTCCTACGTGTCTGTCTGCTAGTTATACGTATCTACTTTTCTTCTTTACTACTTTTTTACCTTTTCACCTGCCTATTTATATACCTGTCTACCTATTCATCAATTATTTTTACATAAACAAAATAATAATAATAATAATTTGTAATGATCATATTTGACTAACAAATGTCAATTTCTGCAAAAAAATCTTTATCTCCAAAACCGCTAAACCGCCCTTGGCAAAAAAGTGATTCAATCTCTTTATTCCGTCAACATAAATAAAATATTTTTTCAATCAAATTGGATGCACCGTTTTCTTAAAAACTATGATAAAAATATCTCCAAAACCGCTAAACCGCCTTTAGCAAATTAGCAAAGTGATTCAAATTCTTTATTCCGTCAACATAAATGAAATATTTGTTGATTCATTCAAATTGGATGCACCGTTTTCTTAAAAACTATTTTTAGTATTTTTTGCTTTATATCTCCAAAACTAAACTAGACCTATCTTTCCCAAAAACCAATCAGCACGTTTGGCTGTCAACATGAATAGAATGTCTTTTGCATCAACCTATTCGGACGCCCCGTTCGCTCAAGAACTAAATTGCCATTTTCTACACTTTTTGTTCTATACCTCTAAAATAGCTCTACTGACAATAGAAACGGAATGCTTTTTGAATCATTCAAATCGGTTGATCCTTGCAATTGTGGACGAGAAATTATATTGTGGTGTGCTAAAATAAATGTTTATAAGGTCTTAAAACTACAGTAAATATATCTTCAAAGGTATTTCACTTTCACAAAAATTGTGTTTCGGCATTTTATTTTGTTTTATAGATATGGCTGTCTAGTTTAGGAAAACTATCACCATTGCCAGATATGCCTGAAACACAAGACGTGCGTGAATTTCCAGAGTTGCGAACGTGTAGTAATGTCACTATTCGCTGGTTGCCGAGCCCTGACTCGCGACCCTGCACGTTAGTAATAAAAAAAAATTATCAAATTTACATAAATATACAATATTATATATTTAGTTTTTTTTCTTTACTTTTGCAGTTATTGTGTATTAATTGTCGAATCTCCTAAAACTAGTTATGACATGCCTTTAAATCCGAATCAATGTCAGCTAAATCAGAGTTTTACAAGGAAAGCCAGATTTGCCGCAAAATATTGCACAATAGAAACCAATAGGTAAGATTACAAACTTATATATGATCTAAGTTGTAAAATCATAATACTTGCAGATGTACTTACCTAATTGTTATTTTAACCATTTGTCTACTCTCAGCCATCAGAAACATTTTACCGTTCCGCTCGTATAAAACATATTAAACAAACAAATATATAACTTTATTCAGTAAAACTCTCAGCTAATTCATCATTGTAGAAATGTGCTTTTTTGCTGTTTTTCCAAAATTTGTCACCTGGTTATTTTTACCCCATAGGCAGGGTAAAATTAGAAGGCCAGGGAGCAATAAGAGCAATGTTTTATTTTTAATTTTAAAGGTATTTTACTATAACAGCTACATTATCCAACCAATGCTGAATATAAATTTTTTGCAGAGATAACACTGCAAATAACCTTGATCTGGTATTTTATCAGAAATATTCTATAATAATATATTGTGAGTTATTCCATAATACACAAATATATTTAATACATACTGATTTTTAATCGTCGTGTAATCCTAAACTTGATGCAATTTATATTGTATTGATAGTACATACATTACATTGGTATTTTTCTTTTTGTTAAGTGTGATATCGATATTTGATCGAAATTTAGTAATACCACCAAAAATCAATATTTCAATTGTAGTTTAGTTGATATAAAACAAATTGTAATGTTATCTGATGTGATAACGAAATTTATATTCCATTTCGTATGTTTGAGCGTATCGGCGTGAAACCTTGTCCAAATTGGTATCAAACAAATAAATTCTAATCTCAATTGTTTTGCATGTACGTATATGAAAGATGAATTTTTGCTCATATGGACCCATATAGAGTTCAGTGACATCGGTTATATACAGTTTATCGGTTAATATCGAATTATACTATTGCAAAAGCTACTCAGAACTTATGTGAATGTTTAAAAAAAACTCTTCTATAAAAAAGCTTAAGCATGTATGTGATTGCGCGCAAAGAAAATTCATCGGAAATTTGTGTTTTACATATAAATAAAATCATAAAAAATTCTACTTTTGAAATGATTCAGCCTCACCCTTTCAACCCTTTCGTTATGAAAGTATTTTCCAATAACAGTAATTACAATAGCACATCAAAATTCTCAATAATTAAGTGAGTAGGGTAATAAATATTTCAGTTAGACACACCGAATGACATGTGAACGCGACACACGTACACACAGGTCGTCAAATGATTGTTGCTTTTGAAAAAAAAATTTGAACAAGTCGAAAACTTTTTGATTGCAAAAATGGTTGGAGTTTTTTAATTTTAATTAGGTACTCGTAAAAAATTAATTGGAAATTTAAAAAAAAACATGAATTTTAAAAATTTACATAATTATTAAGAAAACTTGTCAGATTTCAAAGCTTTGACAAAAATAGAAAGTTTCAGCGATAAACACAGTCTTTTGTTTGTTTTAATTTCACAGATTCATTAGAAAACCTTCCACTTTGCAGAAAAATATGAGATCAGTAAAAAAAATGTCAAAATAAAGTTAGTTTATTTAATAGCTAAAGTATCTTATTTAGTTTCAATTAAATAAAAATAGGAAAATATGTTTCTTATCTTTGAACAATATTTAAAAGTTTCAAGCGAATATCTAGAATCGTTTGAAAAAATATTTTATAAGTAAATAAAAGCTCCACTATCTAGTATATTATCACGAAACATATTTTATACAATACTTTTGTAAACTAATTTCTCTAATAAATTATTTTGAATTAAAATCAAACGCACTAATATTAAGTAATAATATACTATAAGATTTATATTTTTTAGGACAACAGCGATGGTAAGGTCAATACCACATCTAGAAAATGGAAAATTATTCACTATACAGGTAGAGGATAATTATGTTTTTTTTTAAATATATTTTCAGTATTAACTTAATTGTTTTCTTCCTATTATTAGTATCACTTTATATGAAAACTGCTACATACATAGCCTTGCCATAAACATAGATTTTCTATAATATTATATACTTTCTATAACATTTTACGGCAAAATCGGCCCCACAGTATATATATATATATATATATATATCAACTAATTTTATGAAAAGTTTTCATAGAAAGTGGTACTGAAAACTGTCGAAATCCTATGTGGTTGCTGTGCCATCACACGTTTTACATAGAAATCATAACCTTGAAAACGCAATCATAACTGGATCTTGAAAGATATGGCTTGATAACATATAAGTAAAGTTGCATTTTTTTATGTAAAACGCCTGATCGCACAGCAAATACATGGCACTTTGCCAGTATTTAGTAACATTTTGTATGAACACTGGATCGTAACATAACCTTGCAATAGCATAGGTCAATTTTACGGAAAAATCGGCCCATGTGTCTTTTCATAACAAATTTATTATCTTGATTCCATTAATCGTTATAAAAATATTAACCAACAAGTCAAAAGAATTCATAATATCTGCTCAACTTTATAATTAATAGGTGACTGCTCAAATAGGCAATGGTCGTATATTGGCCTATAAGCTTCTCAGAGTCCAAACTGCCGCCAAATGCCATACACAAGAGTCAACTTGGAATTAAATTTATATAAGTCACTAAAAATTGTACAAATATTTATTTATTATATAAGAATACTTTTTACCATACAATGTTGAATAAGTAAAATTATTTTATTACGAAATTTTTATACGTACACGACTACCATTTAGATTAACGAAATGATCATGCTATATAATGTTATTTTATATATTCTGAAGATGAAAAGCTCAAATTTAATAAATACAAAATTTGTAAAATAAATGTTTAATATATAAATAGAAGATCACTCTAAATAATTCATGAACAGAAGCGTCACTTTTAAAAATATTTTATAACAATTAATGAAATTGAAACTTGCAATAATTTTACATATTTGCCAAATACTAGTATTTGCTAAGATTTTGTTAATTTAATATTTCATATACCTCGTCAGATAAAAAAATCTTTTGTGGTTTTGTTCGAAAAGTTCTACTTCTAGTGATGCAGCTCTTTGCTTTTGTGCTAGTAGAGAAAAGTAAAAGAATTTATTAAGATAGTTTAATAGATTTTAATATTTTTTCTTATTAGTTTGATCTAATAACTTTATTGCTAAGCTGTTATAAGATGTTCAGTCAGCATTTTTATACTTCTGGCTATATCTGAGTACCTCATTTTTATTGAAATATCGGGTGAAAAGGTTGAATTTAGAAATTACAATAATACACTAAACTATCATTTTTAAGTTCTTTATGTAATAAAACAAATAGGTTAGTTAGATTTCTAAAAGCGTCTTGCTTTATACACTCGCAGCTTTTTCGAGTAACTCTTGCAATTAAAATATTAATTGAAGCGTAAATAGAAAATCAAACTAAAGTAAAATGTATTAAGTAAGTTTTGTTAAGTTCAAAAATTAAATAAGCTAATTACAAAGGTCCATAAAAAAGTTGGCTGTTGGTGTATTAAGTTTTTTTGTAAAAAATAGCAGTATTTTGCAAATATATTTTCAGATATTCAATTTTAAACATGTTTTTAGGTTACCTGCTGAATTATACAAAAAAAATGTAATAGATTTTTTAAGTAAAACTCGACAGTCAGGTAACAAGAGCCAGAAAACGACAAAAATTATGGGATTTTAATTTACATGTAGAAGAGTTACTAGATTGGAGATTTTGTTTTTTTTTATTTTTCTTATTTTTCTCCATTTTTTTGTGAACCTGTGTTATGACATATTTATTTTTTAACTTTCCGTAGTGTGAGTTGTTGCAATCGCAAAAAAATCAAAAATGAATTTTTTTATATATATCTGTACGTTTCAAAGGTGACTGAACATTTTGTCATACCTTAAAAAAATTTACTTATGTGTTTATGTGTTCGAATACAAAGTTTTGTCGACGATTTCGGGAACACGGTTCGAACGATTTCAATGATTTATTCGATTCCAATTGATCCAAGGAGCTTGCTGATTAGTTTTTGGACAATGCGGGTCCAGCCGTTTCGGAGATACGGGGCAAAAAGTGCCAAAAATGGTAAATCAGTTTTTAAAAGAACGGAGCATCCGATTTCAATAATTTTACTTTTATTGACAAAATGAAAAACTGATCTAGCGGTTTCGGAGAAAAAATCCGGTCAAAAATTATTATTAGACATATGCATATCAAATTATCAGATATTTTATAGAGATTTTAATAATAATTATAAATTTTGTTTACATTTCTATGGGTTTTGTCATCCAAACTGCTATGCGAAGCGCTAAACGCGCTTTGATATTTTGTCTCTACGCAGCTAAAGCAGCGCGATTGTTCTAAAAAAAGTTCTACATTTCCAAAATATTGCAAAATATAAAGAAAGTTTTAAAAAAAATGAATCTTTTTTGAAAAATTTAGAGCGTTTGTGTTTTGAAATGTGATCAATACGATTGGAATTTAATAGATTTATTCCCAAAATATTTGATAAGGTCGAAATATCTTAATGTGGAATAATGCACATTCATCACTGTCTCGGACTATTATGTATATGTTTGATACGTCATTACTGGGCAATTTACGAAACGTAATATGTCATATTAGTGTAAATTAATTAGATAAAGATTTACATGCGACCCTTATCAATATTCCGTATGTTATCAGTTGCAATTAGTTGCTGTTATAGCGCGATATGTCACCATGTATTTTTATAATTTGTTTGTGACCGATTCTGAAGCTTCAAAACGGTTCGGCGCTTTTAGTGAAAACTCAATCGCTCTTACAAACGATAATATTCTAAAGTTTATTCAAAACTAAAAATAAGTGAAAATGGATGTTCCCATCCCTGCACGTGCTGTGCCGAAATCGATGGATCTTAAACAGGTAAGCATTAATTCACATTAATTACTGTTATCAAAAATTAAATTATCAATCAATTCTCATTCTGTTGATATTGAAAGCGTCTACAAATTCAATTTCTTATCTATTTGAAGATATTTTTTATCTGGCTGGATTACTTTGAGTCGGATTTGTTTGTATATATTTTGGTTTCAGGTAAGATTTATGTTTGATAAAAAAAATTTAATATAAAAAACTTCAGCAAAAAAGGTTTAGGAAAAATTCAACAAGCGGTTTGGCTCAATAGAATTAATTAAAATAGAAATCATTTCATTACCAATATTATCTTAAAAATTTTACATACATAATAATAATAAATTGTTGTCGGCTCGAAGGTAGGTCATGCTGTAAAAGCACCGAATATTAGTAATTTTATTTTTCTTCCTTATTTGTTATTACTATTACTATTTCATTATCATTATTTACGTCTTTACCCTTCACTTCAATTCACCTAGTCCTCTACTTCGGCTTTCAGTTCCCTGTATTTTCTCGTTTTGCGTAAGTCATCACTTATCTGCATTCTTCTTCATAGTCCTATATATAAATTCCCTTTCTCCTCCTGGTTTAGTATCATTTTTATTATTGCTTTCGTTCTTCCAGGTTCTGTGCTTCGGTTTTCAGTATTTTCCCAGTATTATGACTATGCGTAAATCAATGCAAATTCTTCCTTTTTTTTAGTCATTTTAGTCCTTCAATTTTACGTTCGATGACATCATGCAGCAGGCATCCCTTTCGCAATATCTTATCCAGTTTTCTTTCCTTTTTACGATCGAGCTCGTTATGGTCTTTTTTTCTCCAACTCTCTTCACCATTTCTTTATTTTTTATTTTAAATGTCCATTTTATCTTCTCCTGCACCACACTCCAAAGATTTCAGTTTTTTGCCCAGATTGTTCTCGTGCAATATGCGTCTCTGGTCAGGATATTTTCCAATTATTCGAAGTGATCAATATCTTCCAATTCTTGATTTCCTAGCGTCCAGATGAGCCTCAAAGGCTCATTAAATATTTATGAATAAATATTTTAGTACATAACATTGAGGAATGAGTTCCTTTTATTTTGATAAAAATATGACAAAGTATCAGTTTATTATATATTTTAGTATAAGGGGGCGTCCATTAATTACGTGATCAACTTTTTGAGGATTTTTGGACCCTCCCTCCCACTTGGTGATACGTGGTGATATTCAAAATTACCCCCCTCTCCCACCAAACCTCGCGTGTATTTTTAGTTACAGTAAAAAATGGTATTTTTTTATTTTTTTGAAAATGTTTGGATTTTTGTCCCCCTAGAGGGCGTCCGTTAATCACGTGAGGCTTTTAGGGGGACGGGATGTTTGACAAAAAATAATATATATATTGTGTATTTATTTTTTTACCTGAGTTTTCAAAAAAATAAAAACTTTAGGATGTTTTCGTAAATTCGAAAATTTTATTCGAAAAATTTTACGTAACTTAAAATACACGTCATTAATGGGGTGTATATTTAAATATCACGACATATCACCAAGGGGAGGGGAGTCCAAAAGACCCTGAAAAATCGATCACGTGATTAATGGACGCTCCCTAAAAAGTTTTAAATTCATCATTTTATATAAAAAAATTAAATTACTGAACAGTTTCTCGACAAAGGACAGATAAATAAAGTATACAATATTACGTATGCAAAAACACAATATTTAACTTTATATTAATTTAATTTTTAATGACACTATAATATTTTTATGCCATATTTGAGTTATAAATTTTCTAAAATATATCAGAAAACTTACGTATGAAGGCTGCTGGCGTTTATATAAATAAATCAATAGATAACTAATTAAATAATAATATAATCAATAATTAAATAGTATTATTGATATTGTTAATAGTATTTATATAATAACAATCAAGTGTTTCACATTAAGGTGCGATAACAAAATATTTTACAATTACAAACAGACAATTTACAAACATTGCCCGACTAAATAAACAAACAAACTGTGATGTATATAAAGACGGAACTATTTATGATTGTTATAATTAGTATTTGATCATAATTACATTTTTAATAGTTTTAATGTAATTTTTCATTTTTTGCTTTTTTGGTAAGAATTAAAAACGTTCTATGAATTATTTGGCAATTAAATAATAAAATATAATAATCTATTTTCAGGGTCTGATACTACTAGATAGAGATCTGATAAAGTTTACTCCTGCAGAGCGCTATGGATTTTTGGTCTTTATATTATTGCTGATGGCGATTTCAATTATCGGAAACGTCGCAACTATATTTTTTAATATAATTCAGTAAGATTTCAAGTATATATGCATTCAAATCAAAAGCTATGACAATGAGTGTTTTCCACTAATGTGATTTGTTTTTTGTATTTTATTAAGTTAGTTGCTTATTTTACAACACTTATATTAGTTATAAAAATAATAAATTTTTCAGCCTATAATTTTTAATTGCATATAACTGTTGAAAAATGTTCAGATGTTTTAATTTTATCTATTATATAAATGTTATGATGTTTACGAATTACTTTTTTTTTAAGAAAAAAGAGACCAATGTATCAAGCTTGTCTTCTATCTTTGGCCGTTAGCGATTTATTGACCGCAGTGTTTAGCGGAGCGGGATATATCAATAGGCTGTCTAAAGACATGACATTATTATGGGTAAATATGATAAGTAATATAATTTTATATTTATTATTCAATAACCAAGGTATATCAGCAAACACATATGTAAATAATATATGTGCATCACATGATAACAATAATATAAGGGAGCTAGAAGATTGTTGTAACAATTTTGTTTTAAATTAATGTATCTTGACATCCACTGAATATATTGCTACGAAATAAAGATCGATAGTTTTTGTAACTATTCCTCTATCGAATCAAATAAAAATATATCCACAACTGTTGTGAATTATCTCACAAATAATCATTTTCTAGAAAAAATGCGGTGTTATAACTAACCCTATTTTTGAGTTGTAACATTTACCGAAGCAAGTAGTAACTACAAAAAACCAGCAATAATACCGCTGCCAATTTATTCTTTACTAATTTTTTAGAAAACTAGCTGTAAGTGGAATTCTGTCTTAAGGCAATTAGGGCATCGTGCCTTAAGGCAAATTGCTGGAACTTCCCGTACCAAAAATTATTATTTTTTGTAAAAACGATTAACATTTTTGAAAAAAATTTACTTCGAAAAAATAAGATTTTTGAGAAACTATAAATTGGACAAAAAATTACTTTTTTTTGAAAAAAATTTTTTTTAAAAAATTTTTTTTTAGAAAAAATTTTTTTAAAAAAATTTTTTTTTGAAAAAAAAAATGTTTTCTTCATTTTGACATATTTTGGAAAATCTGAACTTGTTTTTCAAAGCAATCGTACTGCTTTAACTGCATAGATACAAAATATAAAGCGCGTAAGCGCGGCGTCGCTGTCTAGCGGGTAAACATTGATACGGAACCCATAGAAAAATAAACAAAATTTATACTTATTGTTAAAATCTCTATAAAATATCTGAAAATTCGATGTGCATATGTCTAATGATCATTTTTGACCGCCAAATGGCATTTTTTTTTACTTTTTTCCTTAGATCTCCGAAACCGCTAGACCTGCCTTTATGAAAATTTGATCAATTCTTTATCTTGTCAATACAAGTAAAATGTTTTTTGAATTATTAAAATCGGACGCTCCGTTCTCTTAGAAACTGAGTTACCGTTTTCGGCACTTTTTGCCCCGTATCTCCGGAACGGCTAGACCTGCCTTCGCCAAAAACTAATCAGCACGTCTCCTTATCAATACGAATCGAATGTTTTTTGAATTATTCAAATCGGTTGATCCGTGTTCCCGAAATCGTCGACGAAAATTTGTATCCGCACATACATACACACACGTACATACATACACACACACATACACACACACATACACACACACATACACACACACACACACACACACACACACACATACATCCATTTTTTCTAAGGTATGCCAAAATGTTCAGAAACCTCTGAAACGTAAAGATATATAAAAATTTTCATTTTCGATTTTTTTGCGATTACTATAACTTACCCTACGGGAAGTTAATTAACTTGACTTGACAAATTTTAATTAATATAAATAAAATATATATGTCTTCTGTAATATACATTTTTATTATAAATCAACGTAAACAATAATTAACATCATAAATTGTCTCCTGTAACACAATTTGCATCCTAAACTATTTATTTTATTCAATCTTTCTCACTTGAATTTGTATATAATGTTTATATGTTACAACTGGCCTCAAGATTTTGTTTCAACTAACTGCAGGTGTGATTTTTTTTACATTAATCTGGATAACTATTTACACAATTTAGCAGTCACAAAAATTGTTACAAATCAAATTGATAATTGGATAATCATTGATAATTTTGAAACAAAAGAAGATATATAATTTAAAGATATAATAGATTTAGATATATATTATAGAAGATATATAATCCAAACCAAAATTTAATGACAGATGTATTTTATACTACCTGTAAATAATGACGGACCTGCACAGTTCTGTTTGTTGCGTTGCCTGCGGGACAGTAGCTATGACAATATTATGCAGGACGGTTTACATGTCCAATCGTGACAAAAAAAATTTAATATCGTTTAAGACCCTATTGAAAAATGCCTGTTATAAGTTACCTCTGTTACAGAAAGCCCTTAGGTCCTTTATATATACATATATACACGTAGAAAAATAATCTAGTAAATTGCTAGAGTATATTTTATTATCTACATATATATAAAAATAAGTCGGGTTTTCCTTCCTGACGATATAACCCCAGAACGAACCGATTTCGACAATTTTGCATTCGTTGGAAAGGTCTCGGTCTCCGCAAGGTTTAGAGCTAAGAAAATTAGTGGTGCATGGCATCGCGCCTTAATGCAAATTGCTGGAACTTCACGCACCGTAATTAAAAATTCGAGTAATGTCATTAGTGAGAATTATCAGAATTATGTTTGGTTAAGTCAACGAGCAATTCTTGCCACAAAGAATAATGATGTACACGCACTGAATTTCACCATCCAATTAAAAATTGCTGGCGATTTGGTGACATACCAATGATTCCGACTGGTCTTCCGTTTGACTTCAAACGATTGCAATTTCCAGTTCGCCTTGCGTTTGCAATAACAAATTGCAAGGCCAATCGCTTAGTGTAGTGTAGGATAAATTTCAAATTGATTATTTAGAAAATCATTGTTTTTCACGCTTTGTTCGTGTTAACGTCAGACCAAAAAACAAAAAATGTGGTTTATCAAAGAGCGCTTCAAAGAAACGGATAATTTGTGGATTCACTTTCATTTACTTAGAGAAGTTCAACCAAAAAACACTTCATTTTTGTAATCGAAATAAATTCATTACTATTGTGTAATAAAATCAAATTTTACTTTTTCAAATATAAAACAAACAAAAAATGTCTTCATCTTTCTCACAAAACCATCTGGTGGCGAAACAGAGTTCGTCGGGTTTGCTGGTTATATATATAGAGATTCTTGTGTACGGCAGATATTATAAACAAAGCAGTTCTCTTCATAGAAAATAATTTTTGAAAATTCCTTTTTAATATCTGCGACTAGAGTCACTCTTTTATGGTAAATCCTTAATCGTGGCATTTGTTTCCTATACAACTTTATTAATAATTCCTCAGGATTTGGGAGAGCTGATGTGTTCGCTGATACCGTTCGCTTCGGTGTGCGCGATTTTAGCGAGCAGCGTGACCCTCACCGCCATCGCCTTAGACCGATACCAGGCGATCGTGCGGGCGCTCAAAGACAACTGGGAACCAGGCGGCTGTTTTAGTGCTGCTTCAGTTATCATTGTCTGGAGTCTTGCAGCAGGTAAAATTGTTCAATTTGGTCGTTTGTAAAGCATCACTCTGAAATGATGTGGAATATTTGATAGGACTTAAGTTTTGAACGTTTTCCTGCACAAACTTTTACCTGACTGGCAATTGACGCACTAATTTATTTTAAAGTTGTTTGGTTAAGGAAGTCTGCTTTAGAGACTTGAAAAAAAAATCGATTTTTTTGCAAAAACATATTCCAAAACTAGCCAAGAATATACCCCTGAAATTTTAGAAACAAATTCAAATTATTTTCAGAGTTACAGAAGTAATAGTGGGCAAGCGTCGAGCATGTATACGAGCGGAATAAAAACTTTGACGCGCGATTTCTTGGTTTTTCATTTTTTTGATTCTTCCTAATAGGCGGAAATTCAACATCCTATTGAAACGAGACAAAATTGATTGTATTCAGGATTAAATTATCTTCTAGTTTAACCTAAAAAACCTTAAAAAAGTGATTTTTTTTATCAAAAACTTGATTTTTTTTAAGTTGCAAAAATATTTGTTTTTTTTTGTTTCGGTTAGAAATTGTGACCGGCATCTTTCCCGCCAAATGACACCTGCACGCTCGTGCTTGTACCCGGCATATTATGACATATATTTTAATGAAAAAATTTGAGAAGTATGCTGAAATAAATAACAATAAAACCTGAAAGTTTCGTTTCAATTAAATATTTATTTCCTTCCCTGAAAATTCTTCAAAAAAGCAATTTTTTGAAGCATCTAAAGAATGCTCCCCCCTTAAACGTTTTAATAACAAAATTTAGGGCAAGATATTAGACTGGCCTACTTATGGCACCACATTGATTCAAAAAAATAAAAAATTTAAAACAAATATATTTCAATATAAAAAATGTATACAACATAATGGTGGATTGGTACATAAGTCTACCCTAGGGTATTATACGTCTTTATTAGATATTTATTGAAAATTATTATTATTGGCACCACATTAGAATCATCCAACGTGAATATCTCACGCATATTGTCACTGGTGTGTTTAATGGTAACACAATGCTTTATATTAAAACATGGAAACACTGTTTGCATTATCGTCCACGATGAAGGTACTTACCAACTGTCTGATTATTCTTATATATTTCAAACGTTGGTTTTCGTTGCACAGGTGTATGAAAATACTGCGATTATTTACGACTTTCCTGTTGAACGTCGATTAAAAGTAATATGTATATGTATGTTTATATGTATTTTCATATACAGTTATTTATTATAAATTTATTTATTATTTATTATTTAGTTTATTATAAATTTCATAAAGTTTTATGATTATTTCCAGGTGTTTCTAGTCCAATGTGGACATCATCGGCCTACTTAGAAACTCATGTGATTATAACCGATCCCAACAATGCTACTATTGGACTCGGATGTATTCTTGGAGCTTTTTGTTCCAGCGATTTAGAAATGAAGAAAGCAAACATGATCTTTTTTACAATAGTGTTCTGCGTCATTTTTCTTCCACTTTTAGCCGTTTTCCTTTGGCTTTATATAGTTGTAGCACGCGAGGTTTGGGTTCGTAGAAAGCCGGTTTCTGCTATAGCATCAGGTATGTTCATTTAATATATTTTTTTAATTGATAATAAAGTACAGCGTGTTTGTTTGCTCTGTTCAATATATTGATTCAGCAATACTACGGTCTTAATTATGTTTAATATATACTAAATATGCAAAGTTATAAATTTTGTGAATAGTTTTTTTTTTTCTTTTTCTAACTTAAACATTTTTGCGTACTCAAGAAATATGTATTCAAATATGAGTAACACTTTATTTGCCGATTTTACGATAACGGCAAACTCTTCGTCAAAAATCTTAAATCCATTTCATAAATCTTATTTAAAAATAGTTCTGATTAATTTTTTATAAAGTTTGTTTGATATATAAACTAATATATATTATTATATAGCTATGTTTAAAAACGAATTAAATTAATACATTTGGTTACCAGTTATTTGATAATTTTCAGACCCAATTTGTTGATTCAATTTTGTATCATATCTTGAAAAAACTCTCAAAAATTTCAGCAGCTTGTATAGGCTTATTTAATATATAATCGATACAATAGGGTAGGACGGGGCACAAAGGACTAATTTGACTTTCAGTAATTATACTGTAAAAGCCAACCAAAATGCGCTGCAGCAAACGAAAAATAATGTATTGGTTAAAATATTATTAATGTGACTGTTTATCGTGACAGCGATGAGTTCTTGTGCCATCTACTTTTGAACAGTATCGGTAAAAATTTTAATAATTTGCTTGTTTTTGAGATGATACTGGTGGATTTTTTACCCGCAAACCTGTAAGCTCCGCTTTCACCTACTTCAAAAGCTTTAATTATTCTAAACTCTCTAATTTTGTGACCGAATCTACCGTGAAATTAACCAAAGTTAAAATGTATTTGCTGTGCGATAAAGGCGTTTTACGTATATAAAATGCAATTTCTCTCATATGTTATGAGGCCACATCATAAAGATGCAGTTATGATACGATTGTGCGTTTTCAAGGTCAGGTTTTCTATCTGAAACACATGACTGTGCAGCAACAACATAAGACAGCATTTAGTACCATTTTGTATGAGAAGCACTACGTAACATAGCCTATTTTAAGGCAGAATCGCCATTTTTCTCTAGATATAATTTAGAGTTTATTTATATAGCAGCAAATATTTATGTGAGTGACTTCAAAAATTTGAACGATTTTTGCGGAACTAATCATATGCACTATAATTAAATAATTAATATTGCAAATTTATATTTCAAATCGTTGTTTTGCTGCAGCTAATGAAACAAGTGCAGATACTGAGACATCTACCTTCAGCCGTCGCAATTTGTCTGAATCAGCCCAAAACACTGGTCCGCCTTCTCGAGCCGACGAATGCTACGTGAACGCCCGCGGTCGAAAACACGCCAAAGACGTCCGGATGGAACGCAAAGTGCGCACATTCAAAGTAATTCTTGTGCTGATGGCCGTTTTTTCCTGTGCCGTTTGCCGACGTGGATATATGTCATAGTCAAACATGACATCAGAACAAATAATGATTTTATACTTCAGCAGATTTTCAACGCCTTGAACCTAGTCAACAGCGCCTTAAATCCTTTCCTGTATACGTTCTTGGGCAGCACTCTGTCTTTCACAGCCAAATGCAGAAAGTCATGTAAACGTTTGTGGTCAATGTGTTGCAAAAGCAATAAAACTGATGTGGAAATAATAGTAGCAGAAGGCAAGTATGATGTCAAGAAGAATTCGCTGATGGTGCCAAGAGGGCCTTATGCTGATGAATGGAAGAAGAAAGGTAATTATTATCCAGCTAATGTCACTCAAGCATCTAATAAACCGATGATGACATCTGGAGTATATTTGGGTAACGGTGTCATAGATGGTGATTTGAACAGCAACAGTCACATTTAGAGTAATCATACACACAATAAATTTATGTCTTTTATGGCAAATTTACCAAAGATTTAGTCCATATATCATTAAATTAATGAATTATATAATTAATTTTTCTGAATATACGTATTTTGTGATCTAATGCCATGAAGTCATAGACCTTAGATACATGTGTATTTTAAGATCTATGCATGAAGTACTATAAAGAAATTTTTTACAATATGTACTAGGCATTTATTTATCAGAAAATATAAATTTTATACATACGTGTACGTGCAAAATGAATGTAATATTAATTGTAATATAAAAATTATGTATATCATGTAAAAAGTAAAAACTATGAAATCTGAATCAAGCGGCATATTCAATAATACCAAATTATACATACGCACACACACACGCACACACACGCACACGCACACACACACACACACATATATATATATATATATATATAATTTAGAGTAGAGAAAGGCTTAAAAATCCGCGGGTAAAAAGGTTCACCACCAATTTCGTTTTCAACAACAATATTTGAAAGTAGAGGAAAAAAGATGTATAATCAGCTATTACCTTGATTCTAACGACGTTATTAAGAAAATAAATTATTATTTCACGTAACTTATCTGGGTCTACGAACAATTCTTCTCATTATTCTCTTTCTTTTCAACAAGTCACCATAATTATAATTACCGTATTTAAATGAAGCCCAATGAACCTGTTTAATATTTTACTTGAAATCAAATAATATACCCATTGAATGATAATAATTTATTAATGATAATAATTAATTGCTTATATATCAATTTAGTTCTTCTATTTTGACAAGTGTTAAAAAACATTAACGCATTTAACGCATTATCAAAACGTTTATTTTAACATTTTAACAATCTAAGTCTTACAATCTGATGGTGGCTTATTAAAATGTGGGTTAGTCTCGACATAAAAATTACTGAATGGCACGAACATGATATTTTGGGCATTTAATGAACAAAAATTCAAGTACAAAAAATGTATGTGGCGTGTATATGTTTTTATAATAAACTGGGAACTGATAAAACACTATAAGGCAATTGCGTTCTGCTGAACCCACTCCTCAAAATCAATATTGGATTTTTCGAGTAAAATGTTTAACTTAAATCCAGTTTTTGTTTGTAATTCACTTTGGACTACAGTCGAACATTTCTTCAGTAAACCTCTCACTTCTCTTAATTTTGCTAGGACGTTTTCATTAGACTCCTGTTTTTTGAATTCTCTCTTTGCCAATTCCATCAAAGCCGTGTGTTGCTCATACAAAATTACAATGACATACAATTGCAATCTTATGTCGTATGGATCGATTCTCGAGTGGATATCCGTAAGCTCTTTACACATGTCAATTTTCCGTTGTAGTTGATTCTCGCTCAGGTCAATCGTTTTGTATCCGGTTTCCATTCCGTATAATTGTATAAGACTGTGCTTGAGCTGATACATCAAATAATGATTGGGATGTAAGAAACGTGATAGTTTATTCAATACATCTTCGATGTCTGATATTTTTGCGGCAAGAACCGAATCAACTTCAGCAGACATTTTAGCCTCCAAAAAATCGATGTCTTCACCACTAACCGGCATACCGCAGCGATTGCATGACCAATTTGAATTAGGATCCAATGGATCAACGGGCAATTGGATTCCACCACAGGTTTTCCTGAAAGAGAAATGGTATTGATTTATAAATGCGTTCTAATTTTTTTATATCTATTTTATTATAAAGGTAAGCTGATTGGAATAGACAAATTAAGGGGGTATTCTAGTGTAGAAATTCAGAAAAATCGATTTTTTTTATTTCATATTTTCAAAGTTTAACTATCTAAGAATATGAGTACGAGAAGGTTTTTGAAAATTTAAATTATTTTCGGAGATATATGCATTTAACTGACTCGATCTCCATACTGGATTGGCTTCACGCAAAACGTTTTTCTCAGAACAGACTTTTTCAGTACTGTTTACACGATTTCTCGAGTTCTACACGACCGATTTACTTGAAATATTCAGAGAGTCTTGTTTATAGACCTATCTATAGCTCGAACTAGGATTATCCCCAAATTCCAGTCTTTACTATTTTTAAAAAATTCGAGAATCTCAAAAAAACAGTAAAATAACACTTTTTTTCAAACAGTCGCCATTTTTAAAATTTTTTTTAATAATCGCTTGTTCGGGCGATTGCGACATCATTGTAGATTAATAATCTCTTTATTTTTTTCATTTCCGATGGCTAGGAGGACTGAAATCATATCAAGACTGAGGTGCCAATTTTTTGAGACTCCCCACTTCATCAGCTGCCAGTTTTTACAATTTTCAACTTTTTTATTTTTTAATTTTTGTTTTGTATTTTAATAATAATAATAAACAAGTGGTAAAAAATGGATAGTAAAAACATTCATTGCTTTCTTTTACAACACTTTAAAAATGACCTAAAATTCATCGATCGACACTAGAATACCCCCTGCGAGCATGAATAAAATTCGATATTGCTTGAAATTATGTTAATTTTAGTTGGTTATCTTGTATTCACTCTTTCGCTAAAGTGTCGTTCATAAACATGTTGCGTTTCGGACTTTGCTTCAACTTTCATCACTTTTGGAAATCCTAATTTGTATTATAATGTTTAGTTTATTAGAAGCGAAATTTCAAATTTTTCAACACATTTTTACTGATAATTGTAAACCCTCACAGTAGCCACACTCCTGCGAAAAAGAATCTCGTAGCGTAAGGGTTACTGCAAATTTTATGATATTTACTATTGGCATAAATTAATATCAATACATGTTTATATCTTGAATTTATTCTAGCGCTAAAGAAACCCTTGCTTTATTAACTTCCCGTAGGGTAAGTAATTGTAATAGTCCAAAAATAGAAATTAAAATTCTTTGCATATCTTCGCGTTTTGAAGGTAGATATCGGCATACTTTCAAAAAAATGATGTGTATGCGTGTGTTTTTTGTGTGTCCGCATTTTTTCGTTCACGTTTTCAGGCGCACGGATCAGCCGATTTAAACGGTTCAAAAATCATTCGATTTCTATTGATAGGGAAATGCGCTGATTAGTTTTTGGCAAATGCATGTCCAACCGTTTTATAGACACGGAGAAATTGAGTTCAGAAAATAGAAATAAAGTTTTTGAGAGAACGGAGTTTTTGATTTTAGTAATCCAAAAAGCATTCAAATCGTAATGATGAGGAGAAGTGGTCCTACAAAGGCTTGCTATTTCGAAGATACAGAGCTAAATGTACAAAAATTGACAGTTTTGAGAGCACTTCGCAATTCAGTTTATATAATTCATATGAATACTGGACAATGAATATTGGACAAGTTTAAATCTTCATTTTAAATCTGTAATACATATCTGAACGTCATCGTCCAATGCATAAGCTTGTATATTTTGCATCCAAAATAAGAATAATGAAAATTACAATATTTATAATAACTTAATTGAAATCATTTAATATTTTTCGAATATTTCATTACGATACGGGATGCTCCAGCAATTTGCCTTAAGGCACGATGCCACCACTAGTTTAGTTATTAGTTTGGTGCCTTATCAAAAAGAAAACTTATTTTGGCTCATTTGAAAATTGTCTTAAATTAGATTTTATTTATGGGGATGCCAATTAAATACTTTCATACAACTTTTGGAGAAGTTTAGCTTTAATTTTAATTATCTTATTTCAATTAAATGTGGTTTTATCTGTGCGGTCCGCTGATAATATTACATAAAATATGCCCTAACTTATTCGCATTATTAGTCACTAATTATTAAAAGTTAAAATAACTCTATCTGGTATAGTTGTTTGCAATAGAATAGTTGGAGCTTGCAATCATGTGGTTTCATAAGAATAACATTCTAAAAAACAGATTACTGTAGCACGTAATAATGTCTTCTAATTTCAATTAAAGCTTCTTAGTTCGTAATTCAATAATATAAAAAATCATGTGAGTATTACCCGTCGTCATCCGTTACAGATTGTGGAATCAAACATTTCAGTCCACTGATGTATGTCCCAAGTTCTGTAGGATCAACACATCTTTTGCATTCGCATCTAAAGTATTTGCAATCAAAAAGGTGCTTCCTACGCATTTTGGTTCCCCATAAAGCGTGAGTGTACATCGTGGATAGATGATCACCTTTCTTTATGTCACCTGTTGAAAACATTTTCTATTACATTTCTAAACATTGATTTCGAGATAGAGTTTTTATTTTTAATAATAACTATTAAATTGTATACAGATAGACCATTTTGTTCGTTATATTGTGTTACATATTTCTGACAATGAAAGTCGTTGTGAACCATTTTGGTATTTATATCTAAGTTTTTTCACTTATTTTTATTCTTGTCACAACCGTCTTGGGGGTGTGGCCGGTTGTGACACTCGCCCTTTTCTTGTATGATTTGATTTTGTGACTAATACACTCTATTTAAAGACAGTATTTCAGTACCATTTAATTGACTTATCTCCCAGCTAATTAGAAAATTAACAAAGTTTATAATTTATGTTTATAACAAAAATGTAACACAACCACACCCTACTTTGGATAAGACTCGATGTTTTTCTTTATACAGATTAATTTAATCATAAAGTTTTGAATTAATTAATACTGTAAAGTATTTGATGTTTCTTTAATTTGCAACAAATTAAATTTTATTTATTTTGAGAATTTTTAAAAACGTTGAGAAATTTAAAATGTTTGAGCAGATAATAATTTATAGATAAATAATAATAAATAGATAAATAACTTTTACTATTAGACAATTTTCATTGAATTGATATAGAAACTTTTCATATTCACCTGCTGCTTTAACAATGATTCTGAATTTCTTCCTAGAATCTAGTTGCTGCAGATCAATCATGTAATGTGTATTGGGTAAACAGCTATGTTCCAAAAGCGAAAATGTTGGATAAAGTGCTGACAATTCAATATGGTCATTATAATGTATATCCAGGGCATTGATATCCAGAATACCCGCAATCACGTGTATAATTTCGCTTGACGTATCATCTAAAACTTTGGATGTCATTTCTGTCTCAATTTCTTCCAACACCACAAAAAAGTTATCTTGTAAATAGCGGACCAGTTCTTCTACTTCTCTATAATTATAGCATTAAGTCAATGATTTTGTATCTTATTTGTGAAATTGTTAATATACTAGTATGAGGTTTATTACTTATATTCTTCGGTGCCTCTTCCTCTATTTTTTACATGACTCTGTAATTTGATCAATTCTTCCCATTTCTTTGGGCATTTTCGTTGCAGTATGAGGCATCGCAGAATTATTAGAGCGGTGTATCTAAAAATATAATAAAGCATAAGGTCAAAGTTATAGAAGTTTACTAATTTTATTTATTTTATTATTCATTTCAAACACAAATAATAAAATTGAGCTATTTATTAGGTATTTGAATGGAATAAATCTTACACCCATTACGAAAATTGGGTGGAATATATGACCTCTAAAAATTTGAGTTCAAGGATATAAACTTATTTTTTGTAGAAGCTGCTGTGAAAACACCACACTAAATCGCTGGTTTACAACTACCTTATAATATTATCTAACAGTTATTGAGATATCATCACAGAAAGTTTTAATCCGTATGAAAATGGACATCGCCAATGAAATCTTTATGAATATAATAAGCGATGATGAACATTCAAGGTATTAAATAATAGATAAAGTGACGGTTTATGGCAAAAATTGACCACATATCCAGTGGTAAGACCGTCTTCACATACAGAACTACTGCATTTGCTACTCATTAAATTGGAGCAGTGTATAGTGGAATGTTATGTATGATGAAAACTTGAAAGTAAAGGATGAAACGTGCTAATTTATTCTAAAGAAGTATTACACAGATTTTTCACGTAGGTGAAACAAAGAGAACACTACCCTAAACTGGAGAGAGCATATATGATTTAATTTAATAAGAGGAATTTTATTTGGCGAAAATATCACTAGCAGATATTGTCAAAATAAAAATTAAGATTTCAGAAGACTTCCAAAAACTTCATAAACACATTACTGTAGGAAGTTGAACACGGGTCGAGTCCTGTCGAAGTTGTATACAATGCTATGTAAAATGTAGACTGTGACTATGGTAAGGAAAAGCAAGAAAATATACATTGGTAAGAGTTTATACTATTTATCATAATAATTTAAATGCACAAATAAATAGTAAGTAAGCAATAAAATATTCATTTAAAAAACTAAATGATTACGCAGATACTCCCTTTTCAATCGTTCATTAATTTACCTACTACACTACAGTTTTACTGCAAAATTTAACATATGCATCCAAATATTAATAATTTAATAATTTGCATTTACTATAATTGTAGTACAGTAGTTTGTTAACTTTGACGGCATAATGATTTATAGCAAGCAAAGCAAGGAATGATTGATATCAATTTTCAGTATCTAATTTTTGAATTATCAAAACTTATAAAAGTATTGAAATCAGAAAACATTTAACTAAAATGGTACATTACCTGTAGAATTTGGTATCTATATTAGATAAGAATGTTTTGTAGCATACACTTAAAACTGCACATTCTGCGGCATGGTTATGGCTTTCTTTCAATCCTGGGCATTCTTCACTACATACAGGCCATTGACATCTGAAGCATATTTTAACTATTACTTACATAATTCAATTCAATTCAAATTCAAGTGATATCTTTTTATAATTTCATGAATAATTTTCTTATACATAATTTTCTAGTAATTAATTTATTGGAAAGAGATAGACCAACCGATGGGTAGCACCTATGAATACGTGTCAATAGAAAATTGTCATAACTAGTTTATAAGTCTATTGTATATTGCCTATTGTTCTGATTGCTGTTAATATATATACATATATATATATATATATACATATATATATATATATATATATATATAATTTTTTCATTTACTTGGGACATTTTTGTGTCGTATTTATCGGTATTGCCTCATAGCATCCCAAACATGGAACAAATGATTGAAGTAATTCATAATTATTATGAAACCTTGGTCCGACGACAAATGGTAATTCTGATAAAATGATGGTGTTAGCTTTTATATCTCGAGAAGCAACTAAATGCCGTCCCAATTTATTGTCTGTTACGATCTGCAATATGATAAAAATTTTGATATTAGAACATAATGGGACGTAAATAACATATGAATAAAAAAATGTACTTTGCTATAATGATGCATTATATTGGTATTGGCCCAAGCAACATTTTTAAGTGGTAAGTTTACTTTGATAAGTAACACCAATATTGGTTGTGTTAATTAAACAATTATTCATTGAACGACAGTCAATATTAATATATTTATTTAATACAATTTAAGCAAAAAAATCAATAGAATATTTTAAATTATGAAAACATTTTTGTTATAGTGCAAATTACATTAAAAATTTGGTAAATAATAACATAGCGTAGAGCGGGGAGATTAAAGGTTCGCGGGTATAAAGGTATCGATATCTCAAAAATCAGTAAAGTTAAGAATTTTTTTGGTAGAAAAAAAGCAACGATCAAGAATCCATTATAATAAAAAATAACTTGAGGTAAAAAAAATTAAAAGAGATAAATTAAATAAATAGTTACTCCAACTCTGCTCATGAATATTTTTGACAAAATACCAGATCGAGATTATTTACAGTATTATCTCTATGAAAAATTGCACCAATGGAATTTATATTCTGCATTGTTTGAATAATATAGCTATTATTTTGTATAATCCCTTCAAAATTAAAAATAAGACATTCGGCCTATTTGCCCCCTGCCCAATCCAATTCACACCGCCTATGGGAAATAAAAGACAAGGTTACAAATTTTTGAAAAATAGCAAAAAAAAACTTATTTCTACAATAATGAAATAGTAGAGAATTTTACTAAACATAGTCAGATACTTGTTTGTTTGATATATGTTGTTCTTGTTTGTTGTGATATAATCAATTTGGTTTTCACAATATAATTGCTCAATGATAAATTGAACCTTTGTGACCCGCCCTGCTCTATATTATTTATAATAATTAATTACACATTCATAACTCAAATATCATGAAGAATTTATTGTATATGAAAATTTAATATGATTTGGTTTTTGAATATCAATAGAATAGATCTAAATCATGTGAGAGATTATTGAATTTTCCAGTTGTGAACAACATCTAATGTTTTTCACTAAATAATCATAATATGCATTTACATTACTATCATTAATATTATGCTTTTATGTATAAATGAAATGTATTAATGAAATTACAAGACGTACTTTATACGGGACACAATCCGGCTTATGGGAACTCCAATGTTTCTTTTGATGATCTTTAGAACAGTAACTAATTAGATTACACCCTGTACATTTGAGTTTCGAGTCTTCATTACACACTGCACACTTTAAAATTGGTTGATCCATTTTTTAAATAATTGTCAGCATAACCTATAAACATTTAAAAATTTCTAATTTTACAAGCATGTGCACCAATAACATTAAATCATATTGATAAAAAATGTAGTTATCTATAAGAATGATTTATATTTGCATTATTTTTATAAATGCAGTCTGTATTAACTGACTTGTGTAATAGTAATCCAACTCCTAGAATCGAACGAAATGCTTTCGGTTGATTTTTGTGATATTTTAATCTCGTGAGTTAAAAATAGTTTGCATACAGTTTCGAAACAGCTATGAAATGAAATCCTGACGAGAGAATGGGCGGTCGCACTTAGTAGCATTCACAGAATGTCTTAGAGAACAAACAATATTTATTTAAAAACATGTTAAAATTAGTTTAAAAAGAGCAGGTAACTTGCATAACTTCAGAAAAAAATATAATCTGACTTTAAATAATACATATAAAATTTATTCAAGTAGCGTCTCATTGTTGAGTGAAGTAAAGATTTTGTGCATACTATTATCCTAATATGTTCACATGTCATTCAATGCATATATATATATATACATATGTATAGATTTTTAACTATCAAGATACATATGTATATATATATATATATATATATATATACCAATTTAATATTCATTCAATAATTTCATGAGATAATTTTTGACAGTTTAAAATCCAGTGTATTGTCAAACCAGTGATAAGTGATAATATTTGAAAACGTTAAATAGGAAAGTTGAATAATTTTATTAGATCGGAAAAAGTTGGATCTAGCGATCCATACAATATAGTGTTTATTGCAAAAAAAACTGCGATGGCAACAAAACGGCAAAATCATTAAAAAAAAGTTAACAAATATAGCTGCTCAACTGATTTCATAAAATCATATAAGTAGATCCTTTCGATTAACCTACCATATGTCATACTTTTTTATTTTAAATTATGTATATGATATGAGTCGGTGACATATTAAATTACATATATTTTATATATTTCAATATATTAATGTATAATCTTACCGCTGATATGTCCACTGTAATTTCCAAATCCCGCGTCGAATTTCTTCTAATAAATTCTCTAAAAAATCAAATTTACAAAAATTTACAAAAAAATACAAAAATTTCACGACCAAAACCGATGAAAACAAAATATGTATATTTCAAACAAACAAAATTTGAGAGCTTATAACAAAATAGTAACTAGATGAGCTTTGTATTCAATATTTTGCTATGTATTCAGTGCAATTATTATTCATTCAGTAAACGAAATTTTTAATTCGCGGTTTAAGTACATATTTATAATTTAGAAATAAAATGGTTTTCAAATAATATTTAGCAAATACGTTGACCTCTATATCAACAACGGAGCAATATACTTGAAACTTAAATAGAAATTATTACAATTATTTCTTTTAATTTAAAATATTTGTTGTCTAAAATTAAATAATACATTTTTTATAAATGTGATTTTTATAATATTAAAAATATTATATAAATGTAGTTTGTTTCAATCAAACGCCTATATGTCAAAATAAAATATTTACTCTGCGAACGAAGCTGTATTTTGCGACTGGTAGTCTCAATAATTTTTTCTAAATGTTTTCGGTATAGGAACCATATTGCAATTGTATCTTGAGAACTACAAAAAATCTGTATTTTTAGAGTATTTACAGTGAACTATATCCAAACCTGATATAAATTAGTATTTTCGAAACGTAAATTTACATTATTATATATAATGATAATTTATCATGTAATCAATTTCTATATTAATTTAGTAACAGAATTTTATGCCTTTGAACAATCAAGCAAAATATTGATACATGAAAATATGTGTAGGTAGTGATTGTATCTTGAGAACTACAGAAAAACTGTATTTTTAGAGTATTTACCGTGAACTTTATCCAAAACTGATATAAATTAGTATTTTTGAAACGTAAATTTATATTTTATATATAATGATAATTTATCATGTAATCAATTTCTATATTAATTATATTTAGTAATAAAATTTCATACCATTGAACAATCAAACAAAAGATTGATACATGAAAATATGTGTAGAGTAGAGCGGGGCTTAAAGGTCATATCTCAAAAACAATTTAAGATCTTTTCAATAACAATATTTGAAAGTAGAGGGGGAAAGATGTGTATTGAGCCATCACCTTAAATCGTACAAGGTTGCTATCTAGAGATAAACGGCAATGTTTGAAAATTCATGCAATAAATATTTTCTTTCGTTGTTAATTTTTTGGTTGTGAGTACTGTTGTTTACGAGACCTGAATATAATTTTTAAATATACGTTATTTAATTGTTTTACAAGATTCATTGTTATTTTTAAGTTAGATTCAACAGTTTTTTTAATCTAACCTCCATAAAAACTTACCCGTGGGTGAAGTAAAAAGGACCAAAAAAATCTTTACCCTGGCAAAGGTGTAAACAATATGAAATAGTAAATTAAGTTTATAAAGCAATTTTACAAAAGATAAATTAAATAAATAGTTATTTCAACTCTGCTGATGAATATTTTTGACAAATAAAAAATGTACCCATAAAATTTATATTTTGCATTGGTTGAGTTTTATAGCTATTATTTTGTAAAATTCCTTCGAAATTTAAGATGAGACATTGGATCTGTTTGCCCCCTGTCTGTATCATTTTACGCCGCCAATGGGCTAAAAAGAAATAGGTGACATTTTTTTTAAAATAGCAAAAAAACACAGTTCTACAATGATGAATCAGCTAGGTATTTAACTGAACATGGCTAGATAGTTTTTTGATATGTATTATTGGTTTTGATGTAGATGGTTTCGTTTTCACAGTAAAATTGCCAAAAGTCGAATTGGACCTTTGTGCCTCTCCTCACACTATATATAAAATTTGTAAACGCATATTTTTGTTTATTCACGCTTGCCATTACTAACTCTCAATATTTTTCTTCAGATTCAAATGGCCTCTAAGAAAGCAAAATCTTGTTTCGTGTGCGGCTCCGCTGCATTTCAGAACTGCGGCGCCTGCCACGTGACCGCTTACTGCGGCCGAGACCACCAGCGCCTGCACTGGCGCAACGGGCACAAAGCCGAATGTGGAAAATTCAGCGAGAGGGCGGGACATCTGGTAGCTGCCAGGGATCTCGAACCAGGAACGGAAATATTGCGAGAAGAACCAATTCTTATAAGTAAGAGGGTCCAATAAATATTACTAATTTTTATAAATACTGTTTATTGTTAAAATTTCGTTGTTCATATATTCAATTTAGAATTAGTGATGTAGACTTCTTTTTCCTTGATGGAGGTTTTCATATTTAAATTTGCAATATTTTTGTTTAGTGAACTCATATATTTAAAAGAAAACTTGTGTATTAAATACAGTTCAAGTTATTTGAAACCTTTTGAACGCATACAAATTGAAGTAAAAATATTATTGCAATCGTTTGAACGTACATGTACGTGTATGTAGTTGATAAAATAGAACTTTTTATTTTTGTTTTTGATTAAAATAATTTAGCTTAATTAATTGCATCAATGTAAAAATAAACGATCGAAAAAGAATTAATCAAAAATATGTAATAATAATGAGACAAAGCGACATATTTTTGTTTTTTAATAATATTTATTTATTTAACTAGATGACCCGACAGACGTTGTCCTGTACCCGTGTGTACAATTTTTTAATATAATATACTAGTATTTACCGTTTACCTAAAAATAATAATTATTGTTTTTTAAATTACTCTTCACGCCAAAATGCATATACATTTATAATAATAGATGAGCGATGTTAAATGCAGAATTGCTTTAAATAAAATGATGTGTCTCAATACCCACACTGTATTGGAAATAGGAGTTTTTTAAACGGTATAACATAACCATAACCATAACATAACACTGGTACTTCATATTGGATTAAATTAATTTACTTTTTTATTATTTAAAGTATCCAAAGTTGCATCTTAAACTTCTCCTAATCGATATCGTGAGGACCGAATTGTATGTATTCATCTTTACTTTTCCAATTGTTGTTATAAAGTGAAATTTTTACGAATTTTAAAAATATTGTGGAAAAATTAGTAAAATATGCAAAGAAATAATATAAATAATAAAAAAAAACTATATTGAAAATTTAATATCTGAAGCTTGTGTTGGCGCCCCCCAAGGCATGCGCTCGTATTTTTCGCATGCATCGCATTAAAGGTAGGACCGGCCCTGATTAATACTTAATTTCATATTTTAAGTGAATTAATTTGTCAAATCCTGTTCATATGTGTATCATTCAATCTGCCATAAATATACTGTATCTTATATTATTATTTCCGGCACATCTCAGCTGCTTTTTGGCAATAATATTGTAGACATTTTATTTTTCTTATTCATAATCATAAATTTATTATACATATTCTAATATTGTCTAGGTTCATAAGTAAATTGAAACTTTTGGCTTTTGGATGATAGTTTTCAATTGTTTTCATTGCAACAATGACATGTCGCTTTTTGCATTTTTTTTCATTTATTTCTACAATATTGCACATACATCCTAGTACTTTATAATCACATACATCCTAGAAAATATCCTTAACAAAGTTCAGAAAGATTTATCAAAATCCGAATAATCGTTTAGAAGGAGTATACAGTGAGTGCTTGCTTTATATAATAGCAATAAAACTCAAATTGATTCTATGTTTTAGTTAGAAAACTTTTGTATGAGAAAAAGAAAATGGCTGTTTTTGGGGTTTTCCCGGCAATTATTCGATTTTTTGTCGCCGTAAGAACCATCCTTGGACTTAAACGAGCATTTTAAAAAAAGAATTGGCCAAATTGGTCCAGGAGTTGTTGAGTTATGCGCTTACCAACACATTTTGCGATTCATTTTTATATATAAGATGATAAGATCAGTCTCAATCGTTTTAACAAATCTTAGATTCATTGACTACCAGTCATATAGTCTTAAAATTATGTAGAGAATATAATAACATACTGCGGAAAAATGCAACTAATTGCAATAAACGTTTTGTCCCTTTCGTACAGACAAAATGACTTATAATGTGAGGACACATTTAAATACTTATTTTCTAGAAGACTGTTCACAAATAAATTGTTTGGTTCTCTTTGGGACATCAGAACATAACGCATGAGCCCATATGGAACAAATCATACATCGCAACCAACTTTCGTCGTTGCCAAATGCAAGTCTAATCATTGTACCGGATGATCCTTTCGTCTGTTTTTTTTTTTTTTTTTTTTAATTTTTATTTGACTTCGTTATATAACATTTGGTCATATACAAACATAATGAATATACATTAAGAATAAATGCATAACATCTTATTACTAAATTAAAATTATATAACTAATTTAGATTTTACAATAAATTCATATAATATTTTATAATTTCTTTCATTTCTTATTATGCAAATCCATGCAATTGGTTTTATTATACTTTTGTCGTCATAATATTTGTCCAGCATTTCTTCTCGTTGTTTTATATACCTGCTACATTTCATAATAATATGTTCTATATTTCCGTCTTCTTCTCCACATTCACAGATAGCTGAAGACCTAACACCAATTTTATATAAGTGACTAGGAAAATTGCCATGGTTTAATCTGATTCTACTTAACGTAGTTACAAATTTTCTATCTTCATTTTTAAGGCTTTTAAACCAAGTTTTTTTTTTCTAATTTTATTCTCTATAGTCTTATATGTTTTTCCCTTTACCGTGTCATCCCAAATTTTTTGCCATTCCTCTTCCACATTTCTTTTACTTATGTTTTCCACATCACTTTTCAGCATAATGTCCATTTTTTCTCCTTGTTTCGTTGCTATTTTTGCTAATTTATCCACCTTTTCATTTCCCTCTATTCCATTATGTCCTCTGATCCACGTAATTTTTATCTCATTTCCTATCAATTTTATATTTTCTAACTCGCTTCGAATTTCTGTATAAATTTCTTCCTCAAAAAGATTTATTTTGTTTATGCTTATTAATTTTTCTACACAACTTTTACAATCGGTATATACAATTGTTCTTCTTATGTTCAAGTTTTTAATATATTTTACCGCTTCTCCTATAGCTACTAATTCCGCAGTATATGCTGAAACAAAATCTGGTAGTTTTATCATTTTTTGAAATTCTTTCTTCTCATGGATCATGGCACACCCTACTTCATTATTTACTTTAGAGCCATCTGTGTAGATTTCCTCATATCCTCTACTGTTTATAATATTTGTCTCTTCATTATTAATATTGACAAAAAATTGTTTACCTTCATCAAACCATAATTTTTTAAGATTAACGTTGTTTTCATATATCTTATAAACATTAGTTTTCTTCATGAAATTCAAACTGTCTACCATAATATTTTGCTTATTATCCCAAAATTTATTATTCTCCATTAATTTTTCCAATTCTTCTAATCCACTAATAATATTTGGCTCTCTTCTTAATATCTTCTTATAAATATATTTATGGATTAAATATTTCCATCTTAGTTTTAGAGGTAATTCTCCACTTTCAACTAACATTGCATTTATTGGCGTGGATTTCATTGCGCCAATACATATTCTGATACATCTATATTGTACTTTATCCAACACCTTTACATGTGGACTACTGTGATAAGCAATGCTACCATAATCTAAAATTGGTCTAATCAAAGTTTTATATAGCTCTAAACTCGTTTGTGGATGAGCACCCCACCATGTTTTGTTCACCACTCTTAATAGGTTTATCCTTTTTTCTATTTTCTTTTTAATATCTTGTATACATTCTTTAAATTTCAATTTTTGATCCAACTTGACTCCTAAAAATTTATTACTATTTTTAACCGCTATTGAATGCTCTTCCGTACTAATATGAGTTGGTAAATCATTCAACCTATGTCTTGTGAATACCCCTATCGAGCTTTTCTCATCCGAAAGTTCCAAGCCTTTACCCCTCAACCATTCATGAAGTTTTTTAATATTTTCCTTCATAATATTAAACGCTAGATTTAAATCCCTTTGTTCTACATAAATGAGTATGTCATCGGCATATTGTATAATATTCGTACCTCTTACCCAAATATTATCTATATCTCTTACATATATAGCATACAATAATGGGCTAAGTATACCTCCTTGTGGTAGTCCTTTATTCACTACTCTTTCACCAATTATTTTGTTATCTTTCTTAACTATTATATTCCTTTCATATATATTAAATGTTAAGGCTGACACCAATCGGAATGGTAATCCTATTTTAATTAATTCTTGGAACATTATACTTGGGACGACATTATCATATGCCCCTTTAATATCGCAAAAGAGTGCCACCACATAATTATTTCTTGAAAATGCCAAATTAATATCAACCATTAATTTACATAAATTATCCTTCGTACTCAGCCCTCTTCTGAATCCGTATTGACTTTTAGATAATATTTTATTTTTCTCTACAAACCACTCCAATCTTCTTTTTATCATTAAATCTTTGGTTTTAGCAACACACGATGCTAGTGATATAGGTCTGTAATTATCTGTATTATCTGCATTTCCATTTGTCTTTTTAAAGAGAATTATATTATATTTATTCCAGTCTCTAACTATTTGTGTATCCAACCAGTACTTATTGATTAATCTTAATAGCACTTCCTTACCTATATTTGGTAATTCAGATAACATAACGTAATGAATATTATCTATTCCTGGTGCAGTGTCTTTTCTCCTATTCATTGCGACGTCCATCTCCCATATATTAAACGGTTTCATGACTTCTTTGATATAGTTTTTATCTTTCAAGTATTGCAATCTCATACAACTATCCTTTACTTTAATACACTTCACTTTAATAATTTCAACATCCGTTTTAATGCAACTCATGATTTCATCTTCTTCAATCTCTGGGTCTACATTAAATATAATACCTATTCTCGTAGTTTTATGCTTCGGAATATAAGTTTTAATATTATACTCGTCCAGTAATTTCTGTTTTACCACTGTATTAGCACTCTTCCAATCATTAAAACATATTTTTATTTTATTTATACCTATAGCTGCAACATTACTTATCTTATTACTAACACTTGACACTTTTGTATGTAAAATTCTTCCTAACGCCATTGGATGTAGTCTACCCAAATTTTTATCTTTTGATTCTGCATATATAACAAATGGACCTTCGTTCCTTTCATCATAATAGAA